CTTGGCACATGCAGGACAGTTCATGATTCCAGGTGCCCCCCCCCCCCCAGTCCACTTCTGCATTCCTGCATGCACGTCCATGTGAAGTTTCAGAGGATTCTGGATCCAGCTTGAAACACTGGAGGGAGCAGAATGTAGATGAAGAGACATCTGACTTAATTTATTTATCATGTTGCCAGATTGAATGCTTCCATCTCTTAATTTCCCCCGAAGTAATAGTGCTACAGAACGCTGAGTGCTGTCTGCTCCCCTTGGAACTTTTTAACACCTTCCCCAGTTCTCTTTGTATCTTTGGTTTAATACCTTTTTCCAAGCGAGTTAGTTTATGTGCATTTTTTAACACTGGGAAGTGTAAAAGGTGCCTGGCTGTTCTTGCCAAAATTCCCACAGTGAACCCATCTTTCTCGAAGGAACTCCCAAAGTTCCCAAAGCAAGGCTTCCAAATGAACAAGCAGAAGCCAGAGCAGACAATGGCCCACCTGGACGCTGCGGTGTTTCACTTGGGTTTTAGCAAAGGCTCTCCCATCGCTGCAGCTCCTGGCGGCTTTCGTTTCTGCCCCTGGCTGGATTCCGTGGGTCCCTCTGATGCTGATAGACAGCCCTTGCAACGCCTGCTCCTTCAGTGCAACGGCGCCAGCACTCTATTTGCACGTGGAACAGATGGGGCTGTGCCGTCACCAGTCGGCCGCGTGACAGCCCAGGTGAAAGGAGTGCTGGCTGACATGCTATCAAATTCCACTCACTCACTCAGGAACACACTTGAGTTGGCAGATGAGCGACGGAGTGATGCTCTTCCCACCTGGAAGGCTCTTGCTCACGTTTCAGCTGATGGCACAGGAGCTCCCATCATGCCAGGTGGAGAAAGTTGGCATGTGAATGCCTAATGAATAACAAAACCCTCTCTTCTGGGAGCTCTCCCTGCTCCACCAGTAAGCCCCAACGTTATACATAGCCCAGTTCAAAGAAGATCCATCTCTCCTGATCATCTCCCTAAACCTTTTGAGGAACTGCTGTAATTCAGGGGCCAAATACCAGCTTTGCATGCAGAAGACCCAGATTGAATACTGACTCTTCTGGGTAAAAGATATAGGAGAGCAGGGCTTAGCAAGACCTCTTGGGGGGGCAGGACCAGGCTGACTGAGGTGACTCTGTGAAAGGCAGTTCCTTAAGTTCAGGTGTGGGGCTGGGGATAGGCTTGCAGGTCTCCGTGACCAATAGTTGCCTCCTATTGGCCCAGTGCAACCCCACTGCTAGGGCATGGAAACATGAGCTCACTCTCACTCGGTCTCTCTGCAGGAAAGGGAACTGAAGTAGCAACCACCTTCAGAACATGCGTGGCTTCTGCCAATATAGGTCCCTTCTCCTGCCATAGTGGGAGTGTGAGCCTGCGTGAGTGAGTGTGCAAGTGAAGGGGATGGACAGCCATTCTTACAGTCCTAATTTCTAAGAGCTTCTGTGAAGCAGAAGGATGCGCCATCAGGAGCCGGAAATTTTGAAGGCTTCCCTGTTGTGTATATTGATGGATTTCCTACGGGGCATATCCCACTGTGTCATTCTACTTTTTCCATACAAATAAAGCCACGTGTTGTATAAGATACATGTATGTGTGTTCCCTATCATATGTGATGCCGCCACTCTTCTGTCTAGATCAGTGTTTCTCAACCTTGGCAGCTTTCAGAGGTGTGGACTTCAACTCCCAGAATTCCCCAGCCAGCTCTGAAAGCTGCCAAGGTTGAGAAATACTGATCTAGATTCAACATAATATTGGTGTCCTTGAATCTTGGCAAGAATGTCACCAGTCAGGTTTAGTTCAGGTGCTAAGTCCATCCTTCCTGTCTTGATGCCTTTCTGGTTGGGAGAGGCCGGACTCGCTGTTGGAGGACCTGATCCCACGAGTCCTGGGCGAGGGGGTTGACGGGCTCGGGACAAAGCATCCGAGGGAAGGAGGAAGAAGCTCACGCGGAAGCCCGTCTCTGGAGGGGGCAGGCTGGCAAGGAACAGTGGGGCGCTGCTGGATGCCTTAGCAAGGTGGCGTTCCTTCTTCTGACTTGGTTGGTATCAATTCATGAATGTATAAAGTCGATAACGTGAGTCAGTTCAACAGCTCTGTCAAGTGTCCCTGCAAGGCAGTGCAGAGGCTCTGGGAGACTTAGATGGAAGACGGAGGCCCCACCTGTCTGACAGCCCTTTCTCAGGCAGCCGCGGCGGAGGACCAAGCTGGCAGGGCGCCTGCTGGAGGCAGATTTGAGAGCATCACTTCGAGAGGGGCCGCCCTGAGAGTCCATCTGCTTAGAATGCAGATCTTTCTTCTACTACTTTGGTTTTGTGGTTTAAATTAGAATTACTGCTGCTCTGGCGACTTGGTTGTTTTATTCTTTATTGATGCCAGCCATTTAGGTTTCTGCATATGGAGAGGTGTTTATATAAATCAATATTTTTGTTTCTGTTTGCCTCAACACTCCCCCTTCCCCTCTGCCCCATCTCTGCAACTGAGTGAAATATGCTTCACCAGATGACTGGGTATTCAGCTAACGGAGATGACTTCACATCAGGTTAGAGTCATCTGGTGGAGATTTGAGAAGCAAAGGCCTGCTTGAAACTGGGGGGCAGAGGATTGGAAGCTGCCAGGACTGGGTCCTGCTGGTGCCCACAGGCCAAGGGTCAGGCCCTGGGTCCCTAACAAGTGCCAGGAAGCATTGCAGAGGCACAGACAGTTTGTGTAATGTTTCCCCATTTGCCTTGACACCTTGGCCAGGTTCTGGTGCCTTTCACCTGTCTGCCCTTGTGGCTCTTTTGTGGACATTGGTGTCCAGTAAACAAGAGCATCCCCTGTTCTTCGTGGCTTGACCTTTGTCCTGTAGATGGACTTTTGCCAAATGCCAGGACCAGGTGAGCAGCCCAGGGACAGCAATTGACCCGTGTAAAGGGTCTAATTTATTCTGGCCCTGAGCCAGACACGGGACAAGCTTTTTCTCTTTCTTGTTTACACACTGCTCGTAAGGCATTGCCAGTTCCTTGACTTGCTCAGGAAGAACCTATTTACCTTGCACAAACTTTACATGAAGCCTGCCCACATGTTAATCAATAGGATTGAATTCTCTCTCTGAATCGGTTCTCTTTCTGTTCCGGAGCAGCACGGCTGGACTTCGCACAGGGCATTCCTGGGTATGCTCCACCAGGCTGGCCAAGCAGGTCGACCACAAGCCGCTACATTGCAAGGTTGGTATGTTCTTGAAAGGGCACTGGGGTCATACGCACACATCCATACCCACATTTAGAAGGCAGGAGGATAACAGCAAGCCATTGCTGCGGGTGGCCATGCTACAGGCCTCCAGATTCCTTGGGGGATCTGAAGTTCAGCTTCCCATTTCAAAAGGTGAATGATTTCCCCCCTCTTACAATTCCCCGAAACCATCTCATTGAAGACCCAATAAGTCCCAGCCTTAGCAAGTACCTGGCTGGAGGGCTGGCTCTAGGAGTCTAGCAGTCGACACGGACAAAGTCTCACATTTAGCCTCGGGCCACTGTAACTTTTTGTCCCAGGAACCAGAGTATCTCCTGCCTCAGGGTGTGAAAGTAAACCAAATCCCATCCCCTTTATTGAACTCCAAGTGATTAGCTTGGACATGAGGGATCTTCTAGCCAGGTCTGTCTTTCCACCCCTCTGCTCCCTGGGTGCAACCGAGCCTCTCGCCCATAACCCACCCACATAACCTCACCTTAAGTCAAAGAGGGGCTTAAAGCGGGCAACTTTACCAGGGGATTGAGGTTCCCTTCAGAGGTTTTTGTGCTGCTCTTTTAAACTCTCTGTTTGTTGTATTGCACTTCAGACTGAAGCTCGGATGTTGTAAGCCGCCTTGAGCCAAGAGGGAGCGAGAGAATCAGAGGGACATTTTAATATATTTTTATACGCAGCTGTAATTTAATACTGGCAACAAAGCCTATGTATGTTAACAACACGCAAATAATGAACGCAACAAATAAATATTACCCCATAGATATTGAACGAAATGCTTGAATATTACTAACACCCAGAGAACTTATCCCAGCTATTCTCAATAAATGCTTTAATAATGTCATTCCAATGGTTTGCTACTCAATATTGAGTGAATTAAAGTGATCAATACTCGTATTATATGTAATCTTGATATATGAAGTCCAGTTCTCATGAAATTTAAGCCTCTTCTTTCTCTACCCGCTCCACATTGTTTCCTTTTCCACTTTTGGTTAGTTTAACTGTTTGTTTGCTTCATTCATTCATTATTTCCTTCCCTCCACCCCACCCCACCCCCAAAAATGCCTGCTCTGTAAGCTTGAGCTGTCCTGTGTGCTTCT